ATGTGTAATTGTATGATTATAAACCAATAAGATGAGATTATATTTATAGAACTATGCATATAACACGCGTATCGTTGGGCATTGAAGTTATTTAACTAATCCGATGTCTTATGACTTGACCTGAACCGGATAAATAACCATAGTTCAAAAATCCAAATAGTGACATTAACAATACTGAATATAACTGATTCGGAAGTTATGAATCTTGCATGTGCTAAGAGGTTAGTTTTAAAAAATAAACCTTCATTATTTTGAGTTATTCTATTTCAGGCTTACTTTTTTTATCCTTGTCTAGTACAAAATTGACTGAAGTTGGAATTTCTTAAAAAGTATTTAATGTTATAAATTTGAGTAGTTCTTTTTTCATTAAATTTACAACCATCATAATCTTTATACATATACATATGAGTTTTGGAATATCTAGTTTCGTTTTGTTTATCTAGACGGTTGTATTCATAATACGTATAATTCAGTAATTACAAATATTTACTGATACATAAAATATAATTAATAGCCTGACAAATTTCTACGCAAACTTACCCAATCCTATTATAATGCTTAAATAATTTTATATAGACATACCGCATTTATCATTTTTGAAGGATATTTGTCATACCGCAATATTTTAGCTGGTAAGAAAGCATCAAACTTTTAAATAACTTATGTGGCTCAAAATTTTAAACAATGTTTTTTATTCTTTAGGCATTCCTTCACTTTCAACAAGTTCGTTTTAATGAATTTCCCAAAAAAGATTGTGAGAATAAATCCAAAAGTACTAAATTGAAATTAATGATATGATAATGATTTTTTTTTCTTTACAGGGTAATTTCCAAAAATCAGGGTTGGAATACAATAGGATTGAGGGCATTAAGCTATATCAATATTAGATAAACAAGTCTATAGAAAAATCATCAACCGCACAATTTCTTAATTAGTAAAATTTTTAGTTTTGTTGCACTAAAATACAAAATTATATTGTTGATGCAATGATATAAGCCAAATGATCAAAAACGTATTTATTGTTGTAACTTTGTACCACATTAACTAAACATTAAATGTCCACCGCCGCACTTCAGACAATTAAAATTTGCATTTTATCTTGGCATAATTTTTTTTTAAAAAAATGGACTCTAAACAACTTCGTGAACTTGGTTACAATTATCGACATGGTATTGGCGTTGAGAAAGACGAAAAGAAGGCCTTTAAATATTATATGAAAGCAGCTGAGTTAGGAAATCCAACTGCGATGAAAGATGTTGGTCATTGTTATAAACATGGAATTGGAGTAGACAGAAATTACCAGAAATCATTTGAATATTATAAAAGATCTGCTGATTTAGGCAATGCTAATGCAATAAATAGTGTTGGTATTTGTTATGAATATGGGGATGGTGTTGACCAAGATTATAATAAAGCATTTGAATACTATGAAAAATCTGCTAATATGGGTGCTAAAAGTGCAATGAATAATGTTGCTCTATGTTATCGTAACGGTACCGGTACAAAGAAAGATATCCAAAACGCAAATTATTGGTTCAGAAAATATAGAAGCCTTTTTAAAACTAATAAATCACCAGATCATATCAGTCCTGAACTTAAGAGGATATTAGACGATGAGAGATTTAAATTATCTTGGATTGATTATAATGAATTTACAATTATTCGGGAATTGGGAAAAGGAGGATTTGCAACTGTATATGGTGCACGTTGGTACGATAAAATTAATGGTGCGTGGACTGTTGGTGCACTTAAAGTAATTCGTGACTCAAACAAAAATGAGCAAGAATTTATCCAGGAATTGAAAAATCACTGTGAAATTGGATATGAGAATCCTTCATTCTTGGGATGTCAGGGAGTATCAAGAAATAATTATGGTGACTATATTATTGTTATGGATTATGCAGAAAAAGGTTCGTTACGGCAGAATCTTGAACAAGTATCACAATTGGAATGGAAAGATAAATTGGGTATCTTGCACGATATAGCTATGGATCTCGAGTCGATCCATTTGCAGGAGCTCGTTCACAGAGATTTACACAGTGGAAATATTTTGCAAGATTATCTGCATGATGCGTATATTACTGATCTTGGACTTTCAAATAAAGAAAAGGAAGGAAAAATTTGTGGAATCCTACCGTATATAGCGCCTGAGGTTTTGATGGGTCAACCGTATACTCGAGCATCAGATATTTACAGCCTTGGAATTATCGCGACAGAGATTTCGATCGGACAAAGAGCATTTGATGGAATTCCGTTTAATGATGATCTGGTTTTAAGAATTATCGGTGGATCTAGACCGGAATGTTTAGGACCCGATTGTTATATTAAGTTAGTTATGAAATGTATGAATAAAGATTTTGATAAAAGACCTACTGTGACAGAAATTATTGAAATAATCACTAGTTGGTTAGATGAAATGGATCAGGATGATGATAATGAAATCAAAAACCAATTTTTAGAAGCCAATAAGACTAAACCAGAGTCGGTCAAACAAATTCATTCTCTAGATGTTTATACTAGTAAGTTATATAATACACAAAAATTATCCGAATATATTAGTAAACCGATGAGTACAATTTAAATTAAAATAATATAAAATATATGATTATGTAACATGCACTTAGGAAGAATTTCTTCTTAGTTATCAAAAAATTTCCATGATATGTTAATCCAGTAATTAGTAAATTTGAATTTTTTTTTTTTATCATTAAGAATATTGAAATTTTTTGAGAATATAAATTATCGATCATATTCTCGAAGAACAAAAAAAATTTCAGATCCGTTTTACTGTATGGGAGTAAGAATTTTTAAATCTTCATTTTTTAATCTGTTTCAAATATCCTTTGAAGTATTTTATTTTTACATTACTTCAATAAAATATAAATTTTGATTCTAAAATTGATCAAGAATTACCAATATAATAATTATAACGTTTTGCAAAAAGATGTGACCCCATGATTTTTGTGATGAACTAAATTGTCTATTCATATTTTCAATCAGTTATATTTATATTTTTTAAATTAGCAAGATTCTTAAAATCTTCGTCTTTTTGCAAAGCACAATATATTATTGGTGTGTTTATTCGAAATCAGTTGTTCATAAACCTTATCTATTTTGATTTTTAATTTTATTTATATAATAACATTATGATCGTGAATTTTATTTATATAATAACGTTATGATCGTGAATTTTATTTCGAGACTTGATACTTTCATATATATTTTATAATGCCTTATATTTCTGATCGACAATTACATAAATGTTAATAGAAGAATATTCTAATAGTACTCATAAAAATATAGCTGATATTCGAGAAAAAGAAATCAATGAATTGTTGGAACTATTGTAAACAATTGAATTGGATCGATATCTTACTATTCGTGAAAAAACTATTAAGTTTTATGATTTTTTTCCCAAGTTCTCTTCTTTAATAGTTAGTTTAAAATTTTTTTGGGGAGAGGCATATTAAATATTAATAAATCGAAAATAAATATATAATATTCTCAAGAATTTTTTAAAAAAGTTTAAGTGATAATTTGTAGTTCTATATTAATTCATTACGATCGTATCAGATGATAGCAATACATCATCAAAAAAAAAGTTACCCACTTTATATCCGGATACCTTCTATTTCTTTTCTGTTTTCGAAATTTTAAATCAGAAATACATTGGGCGACTTTTAACATTACCCTAAATTTATGACGTATTGTTTGATAGATATTCAATATGAGTCAAATTATTTGACTATTACTATCTCAAATAAATTTTAATAATAATAAAAAGAGATGGGTTTTACCGAGATTTATAGATGCGTCATGTGCTTGATGTATATTATGATGCAAAAATTACAATCTATCAAATAGTAATTCGAAGTTTAATTTGGACCAAATTCCAAAAATGCGCCCGAATGAAGACATTTTGCACCCCTCTTATTTTCGAAATGTGTTAATTATGCATCACCCTAATGGAATTTTTTATTTTAATTCTAATAAATTATAGAAATATCCTCGTTCAAAGTTTGAAAAAAACTTAGCTACAGTCTGTTTTGTAATCACTTCCAAGTTTTGAACGATAACTACCTATCCAAAATTGTTGAATTTTATTTTATTTTATTTTACTCTACTAATTCACAGAATTAATAGGTAGTTATTGAGATATCCGTTCAAAGTTCAAAAATTTATATATATTGGGTACGTACGTATGTCTATATATATATAAATAATTTAAAACACGTGTCTTTTTTTATGGCTAATGTTTTAACAATGCGGAAAAAATAGTTCATTATATGTTCATTTTTATGAAAGAAATATGGTTTTATCTTTTGCGGTATCATAAATTCCGAGTGCTTTTATCATAATTTTGATATAGTCCTGAACAGTGTTGTACATTTTGGCTGTCCAAAGCCCTTTTTGGCTTGTCCATGTCCAAAATTGTCCAAGTGTCCAAGATTGTTCAAAGCTTGTCTAGGCTTTAATAATTAATAAATCTGTCTAAAAATATATATAACTATATATTTTTTTAGGTGCTAAATTTATTTAAATTAAAATTAAAATAGGTTATCTTAATAAAATTTTAAGTAATTTTACTTTATTTAATTGTCCAGGATTGTCTAAGATTGTCCAAAGTATTGTCCAAAGCTGTCCCATGACAACACTGGTCCTGAATTATGCAGAGAAATTTCTAGAAGCATTGTTAAATTCCTATTGTAAAATGTCAGAGATTCTGGCCCGATTTTTCTACAATCAGAAATGTTCCATTCTTTTATGCAAGCAATATAATATAGTAAATTTAATGGTTTAATAACGTTGCCGGAGAAAAGGTAGATTATATCGGTTGTAAATTTTATGCGCTGATTAGAAGTCATGTATAGTGTTAGAAATCTTATAATTTCTTATTGATTTTGTTTAAAATTAAATATGATACACAAAGGAATTTTTAATAATATAACAACGGCCCTTTCTAAAATTTAACCGAGAGGATTGTTATTATAAATATAAATATGAGAGTGAGTATCAAAATTCTATTTTTTTTAAAGATTACAAAATGAGCCTATCTACACGAAAATTATTCTTGATACAAACTTTTAAAAAATTCATTTTCTATTCTAAATTGAATATATTTTTATTAGTTATTCCCATAGAGTATATCGTCCACTTTCTTAATTTAATGCCACAATAGTTTTTATAACAAATTTTATAGCACTTATACCATTGTCCAAATTATTTCGATTTGTGAATAAAGAACTTTCATCTAATGTTGGTGAGGTAATACTTATTGAATGATATTATAATCATTACATTTATTATTCTAACATTAATAATTAATATAGACTTTAGCAGTCTTATTGAATATAACATTTAACAATTTGGTAGAATTAATAATAATTATAATTGCATTGGTTAATGGTCAAATTCGCAATGTCAAAGCAACTATACTAGGATCTATATTCTTTTGTATACATTTATTAGGGTTATGCTTTCTCATTGGTGAGATTAGCTCTTTTGATAGACATAAATTGCTTGAACATAATTTTAATTCATCAATTGCACGAATGAGTTCTAGTTTGATGTTATTGGCATGTATTGCATTAATTTTACCTGCCACAGCTAGTATTTTTATCAATAAAAGCTTTACCTTATCCAACAATCAAGTTGATGATAGAATCATGAATATAAGTTATGGGACATCAATAGTGTTACTGGCTATATATGTACTGTACCTTATTTATTTTTTCGGGTATTATTTAAATCCACTTCATTGTTATATTTTGCATTTAGTCTTTATAATCTACTTCATTAATATTTATTATAGTTAAAAACCTATAAAGCTCTACTTGTAAAAAAAGAAAATGAAGAAAGTAGTGAACAAAAATGTGAAAATAAAAAACAAGAAATAGAAGAACAAACAAATGAAAGAGAAGAAAATGAAATGCATATAAATGTTATAATATCTTAGTTTTGTTGGTTGTAATAATTGTGATCATTACTTTTTCAGCAGAATTTCTCATAAAATCAATTGAGGGAGTTGTTATATCTTTAAGCATAAGCCAAACATTTATTGGGATAATTTTGCTGCCTATATTTAGTAATATTGCTAAGGTATTAAGAATGTTTAATATTAATTATTATTATTTTTTTTTATAAATACAGTATATATTCACATATTTAATTAAAATAGAGTATAGCTTCTATTACATCTGCGGCTGAAGATAAAATGAATGCAGTTATTATAACTTCTCTTGAAAGTTCAATTGTAATTTGTACGATAATACAGTGGCGATCATAAGTAATGGAGCAAAAAAAAAATTTTGCTTAGATCGCATTATTTCGAGCAATTCGCAACGTATCCTTTTATTTTTTTTTTAATTTATTCGTGAATAGTTATTTTTTTTGATATTAAATTTTTAATGAATTTTGTTGTTGTCGATTCAAAAATAATCACGTGTGTAGTACGAAACACGTGATGCATTACTTTTGATCGTTCCCAACTAAGATCAGATGAGGCATTTGTACAACACAAACAACAATATAAAAGTAAAATACATTGTTGTTTTTGTATTGTTGTACAATGTTGAATCTAATCTATAATCAAACTCCTCAAAAAAAAGAACGAACGACGCTAGCCCAAAGGGCTAATATTTTACTTTCACTGCAAAAAGGATACTTCACAAGGGCGGTAGGTGTCGCCTTTAACATTAGTTCCTCTACCGTTTGTTGCATCAAAAATAATTAGGAAAAACACCACGTACTTGAGGACTTGAAAAGGGTTGGTTGCCCAGTTGCTCTGGGCGAACCAACCCAAAGGAGAATCATGAACCTAATCACCTCTCATCGTTGTTCAAGTGCCATTGAAGTTTTCTTCTGGCTTAAAGAACAAGAAAATATTGACATTTCTGCGCCCACTATCCATCGTATACTCAGGGCCCACGGTTTGGTGTTGGGAATCAAGAGAAAAAAGCCCTACCTAAGCAGTATTCATAAAAAATGTCGGTTAGAATTTGCAGTATAACATGAAAGTTGGACCTACGAAGACTAGGCCAAGGTAATTTGGTCTGATGAATCAAAGTTCAAGATTTTTGGGTCAGACAGCAAGCAATATTATTGGAAGTGTCCCGGTAAACCTTTAAGCAACTTCCACATTAAGCCTACGGTGAAGTATGGAGGTGGTTCCATTATGATTTGGGGCTGTTTCTCATCTCGTGGTGTTGGTAGTTTTTGTCAGATCGAAGGCCACATGGATGGCGAGCTATATCGTCAAATACTTTGTGAGAATTTTTTGGGTACTGTTAGAGACCACGGGTTTAATATTCGTAATGTGATTTTCCAGCAAGACAATGACTCTAAGCATACGGCAAAGTTGACAAAACGTTAGTTAAGAAATAACTGTATTACATTGTTGGATTGGCCCCCCAGTCTCCCGATCTCAACCCCATCGAACATTTGTGGATTGAGGTTGACCGTCG